TTTTTAGGGGAGCCTGTAGGTTTTCTGTGTTTTGTATCATGTCACCTGTAAATAGTTTTTCTTTCTTAACCAATTTAGATGCCTTTTATTCTTGTTGATTGTTGTGGCTAGACTTTCAGTACTCATTTGAATAAATGTGGGAAGAGTGGACATTCTTAAGACAGCCATACTTTTCTTGAGAAATTTGTATCTTACTCTATGAGTATTGCACAATATGTAGATGATTAGATTTTTTTTTCATATTGGCTACTCAAAAGCTTAAATTTGTTATCACCAGTATAGCAGTGTATTTAGCATAATATTGTTTTCCTGTTAATGCTGGGTTCAATGTGTATTCCTGTTCTTGTTCCAATTCAACTGAGACTTTTTTGTCACATGTTATATATTTTAACAAATCGCTAATATCCTCTTTGAAACAAAACAGATACGAAAGGCAGGTAAGTTGAGAGTAAGGAAGAAAGGTTGAGTAACTGGCATCAAAAAGGCAGAAAATAGGGGCGCCTGGGTGGCTCAGTGGGTTAATCTGCTGCCTTCGGCTCAGGTCATGATCTCAGGGTCCTGGGATCGAGTCCCACATCGGGCTCTCTGCTCAGCAGGGAGCCTGCTTCCCTCCCTCTCTCTCTGCCTGCCTCTCTACTTGTGATCTCTGTCAAATAAGCAAATAAAAATCTTTAAAAAAAAAAAGGCAGAAAATAGGTTACAGAAATTGGGGCTATACTTAAAGGTATACAAAGTAAATACAAACTTACTACATACAAAAAACATTGACATTATGGTGTTTTCTACTTACTTTCCAGGCTCCAAACATGGATCTATATCGAATAGGCAAAAGAATGAAAGCATTGGTCCTTCTCAGTAAATAAAATTAATTCAAATCAGCTATTCAAAAAGCCAAATTAGGATAAATAATAAATGAAATTTGGTCTTGGCATATTGGTCCTGGCTAAGAGACATGTACCTCATTGTTGGGGTGTTTTATTTCTGATTTCCTGTAAGATCAGGGAAAAATTATCATACAATCAGAACCTTCATGGATTCACTTTCATTGAGTTTTGTTATATACTTAGAACTTATCCAATAATCATCACAATAACTAGTCATATGAAATCCCCTTGAGTGTAATGTTATGAAAAATGTTCTCAATAATTTTATATTCTATCAGAGGTCACAAATTAGTGACCCCACCAAGCAAATATTTTAAAAATCTTTTCTGGCATTTGCCAACATGTTGTAATTAGAAAAAATTTATACACATATGGGCACACATACTTCCTCATTTTAGTGACCCATACCTACAAAATGAATTGAGAACTGATTAGCAACTACTCCTTTTAGTTGAAAGTGGTCCACAGTTCCTAGGACTCTCTATGGTCTTAAACCTGCTGCATTTATTTATAGTACATTACCTGGCAGGTTCTTATAGGTTTTTACATTTTTATTTTTTTAAACCATAGGTTTAATGCCAATTGGAAAAAATTTTTAAAGTTTTTTTTTTAATATAGTTGATACTTGTTACATTATTTTGAGGTGTACAACATAGTGACTCAACAACTCTATATGTTATGTTGTGCTCACCATAAGTATAGCTACCATCTGTCAGCATACAACATTATACACAGTACCACTGACTATATTCCCTATGTTTTACCTTTTATTTTAAATTGTGACGACAACATACGGTTTACCTTGTAAAGGAGATGCTCCTTTCCTGGCCAACAAAACAAAACAAAACCATATGACATCTTGTATTAACTACTCAGAAGCTATATGCAAATATGAAGCAAATATGCAGTCAGTTATATATGCTAGCATGTATATAGATGTATATTCTTTCTAGATTCCCATCTTTCATTGTTCATATACTTTTAAATTCTTTTTATGGAAAAAATACTTTAAATCCTGTTTTCAAATGAGTACACATTTTAAAAAGAGAAAAGCATTACCTACACTCTACATAAGAATGACTAAAGTAAAAAGAAAACAATGAAATATTATACATTAAAATAATATTTTATTTTGGGGATTATATTAAGTCTTTAGCTAAGAATACATAATACTCATGAGGAAAAATAGAATTTAAGCTCAGCTACTATTCATAAAATGATTGTCAACATTTTTTTTTTTACGAGACAGCTAAAAAGTCAAGAGCATAATTTCCAGTAATGTACTTGAATTAAATATAACACCACATTTTCAAGGAAGAATTTAGCAGCCTTGCAGTTAGCTTTTTACATGAAGCCAGAGATTAGACTGCGCTATTTTAATATGAATGGCTTAATAGACTGCCACATGATTAAAGAATCTAAGTAATTAAAAAACAATACATAGAATGGCAGCATTCAGTAAATACAAACTTACTACATCCAAAAAACATTCTGACATACTACCCTTAGGTGACTGTGTTTAAATATATACATTTCTAAACTTTATTGCATTTATTACAAGTGAATTTCTTCTATTTTTCTCTTTTGTATTTGTTTCAAAATCAGGGTAAAGATCATATTACATTAGACATTACCAAATTAATAGTGTTTTCATAATGGCTTTTGTAAAACTGACTCATACTTTTATGCATGAACATAAATATAATTAATGTATTTTAAATGTAATTAGCTAAAGTGTCACTTTATTTCATGTTTACAACAATCTTTGCTCAGATTAACCAATTCTTTCAAAAAATCAAAAACAAGGCATGATGATACAAATCATATACTATAGTACACCATTTCCTTATGTCATAAAATATTCATTTCATGGGGTCTTTTCTAAAAGGCTCTTTAACTTTGATTGAATTTATGGTTAATTTTATGTAAACTGAGAAACTTAAAACATATAAGATGCTTTTAAATGAAGTCTGGAACATCCAAAATAGTGCTACTATGTTTTAACTTCACTAAATTTTAGATCTGTGACCATTTACTACTTCTTTTTTTCTTTTTATATCATAAATTATGTAACAATAACAACAACAAAAACTAACCATATTGAAAAATGTTCCCCTCGTCATTGATGAAATATAATAGGACTACTACTAAGTTCTTTGATTGGACTACAATGAATCTCTAAAGTAATTAAGCAATGTAGCACTTGAATTCTCAAGAATGATAATCTTACAGGAAGCATACAATAACATTTAGACTTTATGTGGATATATAGCAAAGCCAGTATAGAATTTTACCTGAATGAATAAACTTTTTTGCTTGTGGTTAGGTCCATTTTTCATTTTGAAATTATAGATATTTATAAAAAATAACTGGAATTTTGCTGGTCATAAAGTATTGCTTCTATACTGTGGGGCATGAGGGTGTTCTACCTTGATTCAAAATTTAGATATAGACTTTTAAGAGCTGTTTCTGTAGACACTATAGAATTCAGGAACCCTCATCTTTAACTGGTCAGTATGAAAAAGTGCATGGTTATAAACTTGATAGATTCTCTGGTTGTTTGTTAGGGTAAGATTTCCCAAAAGAGTTAGAGCTAACATAGAATCATGCCCAAAGAATAAAAAATAACACCTCTACCCGCTACCCCCAAAACTTTTTGTGTTTGTGTGTTTAACAAATTCACAGATTTAAAAATGTATATACAGTTAAAGATACAGACTTTGTAAGTGCTGCATATCTCAAATAGAGAAAATATATAGTTATGAATGGATACTACTTTTCATCTGCTAATCAGAAATTAAATATTTCATAAATAGAAAGGGACACATTTTTATACCTAAGATACACTATTTCATGTACACTTTTATTAAATGAAAGTTAATTACTCCATATAACAAAAGTCTTTTACTTTTAAAACAGAAAAAAAGTTAACATACAACTTAAACATTAATAACAGGAGTTTTTGACAATATTAGTCCTTAAGGAGAATAATAAAACAAAGATTATTTTCTATACAATCAAAATAGACTGATTAAGCCATAAAAGAATTGTGATTCATGCGTTGCATATATTACACTGTTTAATAGTTAGTTTACTGAAGTCACACCTAGATAGTTTAAATTAGGCAATCAGTTCTTTGCTTTTACTTGTGATCATAATGATTTAAACTGTGTTATAAGTCAAATGATAAAGGCAGCTGTAATGAATACCTGAGGAAGACTTATGAAATTAGAGATAATTCCTCCTGTTTTTTAAAACAGGCAAAAAGACACAGGGTTTTCATATAATTATAAATTCTTAAACTCTTATGAGGTCAGATTCCAAACATTCTTCCCTTGAGAAAAAAATCCGTTTTACTTTGAAATCTGATCCTTACTGGCTGGTTGGGAGTAATGTGTTGGGAACCACAACAAAGCTCAGAGGTAAAGAGTGCTGTAGTAGATTATCTAGGTCTGCAGTGGAAGCAAGACAGAAAGTGGTAGTATTCACATTGAGTACTTGTTGACCTTGTTTTTATACACTTTCTCTTAATCTCGAACTATTTCATAAAATTTTCTGTCAGAGTAGGTTAAAATATACAGTATAAGCAATGACAAAAATTCCTCTGTAGTAATATCTCTAAATTTAATAAAATATGGTATAAGTGACTATTAGGCATGATACATTTAGAGTTTATTCCTGTGATAACATATAGTAGCTACATGGATATAAGAAAAAAAATCCACAGGTCGTATCTGTGTGAATGTTCCTATGAAAGCCTTGGTTATATCATTATAGTGATTTATTCTTGTAATTTCCTCTAGAAAGTAAGTTACTACTATTGCTCAAATTTCTCATGACCTGATCATTCTCTAAGAAATGGCAAATTCTTGGGGGCACCTGGGTGGCTCAGTGGGTTAAGCTGCTGCCTTCAGCTCAGGTGGTGATCTCAGGGTCCTGGTGATCGAGTCCCGCATCGGGCTCTCTGCTCAGCAGGGAGCCTACTTCTCTCTCTCTCTCTCTCTGCCTGACTCTCCATCTACTTGTGATCTCTCTCTGTCAAATAAATAAATAAAATCTTGAAAAAAAAAAAGAAATGGCAAATTCTTAATTTATAAATAAGTTTAACATTAGTCATGCCTTTTTTCAAAGAAAAGATATTGTACTTGAAAATCACTGGCTAAAATAAATTTCATTTGGGCTATGTTACGATAAATTCTACAGTTACTTTATTTCTGAATATCTCTAAAACCTGGAGATTTATATCTATTATTGTTCAGTATTGTTTCTCTTTAGTAAATTAAGTAAGAAATAATATTCTTGTAATAGTATATACATATATATTAGAGTTCTAGTTAACTATAAGAACTGAAGGATAACATATAATCTATTAAAGAGATCCATTTTCAGCATATATGTGAATTAATTTGTCACAACAGGACAATCAACTGATCATAAGTATTGAATCTGGTAGATACCATGAAAGTATGTTTTTACATGGGGATCTATTGTCTTTTAAATGAGATTATTGCCATCATTAAGTATTAAACTTACAAATCAAACTTCAGGAATGAATTTAAGATATAAGAGAATTTTCATTTCCATGTTCCTAAAATGCTAAGTAAATGTTCCCTATTTTGGTAAAAACAGCTTAAATATTAAGAAGGAAATCCAATGATAGTATCTTTTTTCTTTCTTACTAACAGTTGGTCTCTGATTAAAAACATGAATAGAATAACAAGTTAAAGATCGACAGGTTATCCAAAAACTGGTATTTTGGGCATTCTATCTTCATAATTGTGAACCAACTATGTTTTCTTAATACAGAAGCATGAAAGAACTTACCATAGCTTCTAAAATCTGGAATTTAGCATTGTAAAGCAGGCATATTAGGCATGCCAAACACCTAGCATGCTATAAGTAATCAAAAAATCCTCAAAGGATGATGCATATTGTGCTATAGAAAGGAGGCCTTCCTAACACAATGTGATTCACAGTAAGGCTAAAGTTGTGATTTTATTTTCCTTAAGAATTTTTATTGCAGACTTTATTGTGTTAGTGAACACTCTGGATGACTGAATCATTGGGAAAAAAGTCTAAATGAAACATGTACATGATCTTTTAGGTCCTATTTTCTTCACTAGACATACCCAATATACACAATCTATTTCTTTGGGCCCAGAATACAAGAAGGATTTAACTGTGCACTAATTATTTATGTAATACAGTTTTGTGTGAGATAAAAATTTGTAGCAAATTATGCCACAGGGAATGTTATTTGCACAGTTTTTCTCTCCGATATTTTTTCAGTGCAGCATTGTGAAGGGTGGCAATGATGATATCACAATTTTTTTTAAAAAGTGCAAATTCTTTTTATTATGGGGATAACTGCCAATCAGTACACACTTAAAACAAAAGGTACTTAATGCATTAAGAAAGAGGCAGCTTCTGATCTGATGCATAAGTTGCTCTTTCCTTACTGTATTTTTCAGACCACTTGCGAGTCAGTTCTAGATAAAGACTTGGTTTATGAGGCCGGTAATCCAGGTACACGGTATTACTGGTTCTTTTGGGAATGGCTTTTTCAATCTGAGTTCCTTCATGCCACTCATTGAAAGAGGTGATAGAAATCACACTGGGGTGAGCATGGAGTGCAGCCCCCAGAGCAGTTTCATAGTACTTCCCGCTGATTCGGTTTCGAGTGTTTTGAGCATTCCATGGGCGGATGCTGGTATCTATATATCCTGGGCCCACACTTGGGATAAACAGTAGATTGAATTGGTCACAGAAAAATTTTAGCCTCGCCCAGTTCTCATATGATGAGCCATAAGTAAAGCCATTTGTGGCAAAATATGTGTAAATTCCATCAAAACCTCCTTGAAGAATATCATATCTATGTTTGCTTTCTACTAGAAGTGCAATAAACAGTCCATCATAAGGAGAATTGCGGATGCTCCGAGACCCTGTGATGGTTAACAAATTGGCCCATTTTTCAGGCTTTGTGATATAGGAATCATAGATATAAAACATAGGAAGAGCATTGCCGGTCTTAGTCTTGTACCTATAAAAGGCCGGATGATTTCCATATCTAGAATACAAAAATATGTAAAAGTGAAGTGAATATCTGTAACTCATTTTCCACAGACAATAACTGTTTCTATATTGAAAACGAAGGTAATTAGCACAGTTTAAGCATATTGTTCACTTTCTTTGGGGGATCAGTCATATTAAGGATAATCATTAAAAATGCATTTTCAATTTTGCAGATAGGTAATGTCTTGATGTATCCAGTATCTCATTTTTCCTAACAAGAAATTATCTTATACTGAGGTTTACAAATGATGACCAACACCATAAAAAGCCCATTTTCTATATGAATATGTCAACTGCTATTCCTGCTGACAAGTTTCCTTTTACAAGTATAGTATATGTCACAGGTTCTTACCAGTAAAATCCTTGAACAAAATGAAGCTGTATTAATTTTTTCCTTATAATCAGACTAAATAAAAAAATTGGATGTGGGTCCATAGATATAAAGCAGTTCACATTTCATAATTTGAACCTTCTTTTAAAAAGATAATCTGTATTCGTGATTTAAAGAATACCAATTTAAAATGTCAGCCAGCAAATCATAAATAGCTTAATAAACATATAAACAGTAAATAATCTATACAGAAAGTGAATTATAAGGAATTTCAGAAATGTTCCTCAAAATGAGTATTCACTACAAAATTTAATTTTCATATATCAGACCATAAGTCATTCAAATCTCAAATATAATTTAAATGTACTTGCTATCATTGGATCATAAAACAGTAATTATAAACACAGAAGAAACTCACTTGTCTATAATATATTTGACATTTTTGTACATGTTTTGATCATCTCGATTGCTGTATGGTTCAATGTGAAAAGTGACCTAAAACAAAACAAAAAAAGAGATTAGAAAAAATTATCTATGATGTAAAAGTAAAACTGAAAGTGTACTTCATATTTTTAATAATTTAAGATGAATACTTATTGAATATAAACATTATTAACAGGGAATTCTATCGGAGAAAGCTCTTAGTCAACATTGTTACTGTGAAAAAAATATGCCTATCAGTTTGTATTCTCACAACCCCCTAACGTAGTTACTAAGTGAGGCAGACTGCTGGAGGCAAAATAAGCCGTCAGAATTCAGAACTCAAAGTTTGAAGACCATGCAATACTTCTTCCTGTATGTTTATTTTTTTATAAAATAGGGATATATTCTACATCCAGACATGTTTCTATGAAAAGAACATGGTCCAGAAAAATCTGGATTCTTTTCCCAGGTGTGACCAATAGCAATTTTTTTTTTTTTTTAAGATTTATTTAAGAGAGAATGAGCATGTACCAGTGTGGGGAGGGGCAGAGAAAGAGAATCTCAAGCAGACTCCTTGCCAAACTAGGAGGCTGCCTGGGGGCTGGATCCCACTAACCATGATCATGAGATCACGACCTGAGCAGAAACTGAGAGTCAGATAGCAAAGTCCTCTACCATTAAAACAACACTTCACAAAATAATATACGTTTAATGTGTACTATTACTCGAAGAATTTATCACAAAATTACTGGAAAAATATCCACTAGTACTATGAACGCTTGTTATTGATATGGTTTATAGATCTCTACCATAATTGCAGAAAGCAGTAACCAAAAGTATTTTCTAAATACTCTGCAAAGAAGATTCATTTTTAGTTTAAAAAAAAGTTATATATAAATCAAGAGAAACTGATTATGGCTAGTAAAACCATTTTGTATGATACTAATAGTGTAGATTGTCACTTAGATGTGTAAATCAAATAGGAGATTTTTCACTTTTATTACTAACTTTAACTGACTTACCAGTAGCTATTAAACATCTTTATGACAATCTAATAAACAACTTGATGTTACTCTAATTTTAGGGCTTAGTCTCTGAAACATGTAAGGAATTAGAAACTTCTATGCTACTGCAATATAAAATGCCTTTGTTTTGGGGCCACTGGGTGGCACAGTTGACTTGACTGAACATCCCACTCCTGGTTTTAGCTCAGTCGTGATCTCAGCATGGTGGCATCAGGCTTGGGCTGCCGCTCAAGTATCTGTCACAGATACTTGAGATTCTGAGATGCTTGGGATTCTCTCTCGCTCTCCCTGTGCCCCTCCCTCTCATGCTCTCTCTTTCTAAAACAAATCAATCTTTGAAATGCTTTTGTTGTCAATTACCCAATTAAAGTAAAATGAATAAATAACAAGAATACTATGAATAATGAATAATAAAATGGATTTTACTAGCCATAGAATTTTAAAGTCAGAGAGCATTTAGTGAAAATATTCCCCACTTTGTATATTATTGAAATCTCATTTTATTAAAAGGAAGTTTTATCAGTAACAAAATAAGGTCAAATTCAATTCTGTATATTTAAGTATTGTTAGGACAGTCACAGTTTTCAGTAACTCTAGTATTATAACATCAAGTGAAAGCAGAATGGCAAGGGTATAGGTATTTTCTTGTTCTTATATAATGTTACCTTGGGTAATTCTCCCTTTAGAGGGGATGTTATATTTTCTAAGCTTCCATTTTATATATATAAAGGGTACCATATGTCAAAATATAAATGACATCCTTTCCTTCTTTTGTAAATTACAGATAAGAAAAAGCCATTATTGATAAATATATAATATCTTCATTTTCTCTATTTCAACCTTCTTAATTATAATAAAATCATTTTGTAGGTTTTATTATGATATAATCTAGTTAATGTTTCTCTTAGACCAATATTAAAGTAACTTCATAAGAGTTATAAATGTTCCCCCATTTCATACTTCTACACTTTTGACCTTTCCAGCTCTTCTCCATCCTGAGTATACTTTCTAAAATGAACATCTGATGATCCTGGAGAGTAGGGTCAGCAACCATTGTCTCTCTTAATGGTAAGTCATTACAGAAATATATCCTTGGGGCACCTGGGTGGTTCAGTGGGTTGGGCCTCTGCCTTCGGCTCAGGTCATGATCTCAGGGTCCTGGGATCGAGCCCCGTATCAGGCTCTCTGCTCAGCGTGGAGCCTGCTTCCCCCTGTCCCCCTGCCTCTCTGCCCTACTTGTGGTCTCTCTCTCTGCATCAAATAAGTAATAAATAAAATCTTTAAAAAATTATTTATTAAAGCACAAGCAGAGAGAGCAGGAGAGGGAGAAGCAGGCTCCCAGTTGAGCAAGAAGCCCAACATGGGACTATCCTAGGACCCTGGGATCAAGACCTGAGCTGAAGGCAGATGCTTAACCAACTGGGCCACCCAGGCATCCCATAGATTACCCTTTTATCTCAAAACAAAATGACCTTTATAAGACAAAAATTGTCATAAATCCATAATAAAGAATTTTAAAGACATCCAAGTTAAAAAAGAAAAAAAAATGTAACCTACACAGAAATTCACATTACACTATCAGATTTATCTGCAGAACATCTACAGGCCTGTAGAGGGTATAATGACATATTTGAAGTGTTGAAAGATATAAAATTGTCAGCCAACAATACTTAATCTGGCAAAGTTTTCCTTCAGATACAAAGAAGAAATAAAGGCTTTCCCAGATCAACTGAATCTGAAAAAATTCACCACTAGCCCTGCCTGCAAGCAATAAAATAAGAGGTTCTTCAATCTAAAACGACGACAGGCTGACCAGCGACATGAAAACATGAAAATACACAACACACTAGGTAAAGGTAAAAATATTCCTTTTGGATTTAGAAAACTAATTCTAAATTAGAATGGTATGTCAGCTCTTCAACAACAGTATAAAAGTTAAAGGAACAGTGAGAAAAATAACTACAGTAACAGTAAGTTGTTAATGAAACTAAAAAAATAAAGATCTAAATTGTAACTAACATCAAGATATGGTATTTATATACAATGGAATACTATGAAGCCATCAAAAGAAATGAAATCATGCCATTTGCAATGATGTAGATGGAACTAAAGGGTATTATGCGGAGTGAAATAAGTCAATCAGAGAAAGACAATTATCATATGATCTCCATGATATGAGGAATTTGAGAGGCAGGGAGTTTTGACGGGTAGGGAAGGAAAAAATGAAACAAGATGGGATCGGGAGGGAGACAAACCATAAGAGGCTCTTAATCTCACGAAACAAACTGAGGGTTGCTGGGAGAAGGGGGGTGTAGAGAGGGTGGTTGGATTATGGACATTGGGGAAGGTATGTGATATGGTGAGTGCTATGAAGTGTGTAAGCCTGACGATTCACAAACCTGTACCCCTGGGGCAAATAATATACTACATATTAAAAAAAAAGACCTATGCAATGAGACATAAAACAATTTCAGGCTGAGAATAACTTATCTTTAAGAAATTTTATGTAAGCCCCACAGTAACTACAAGACAAAAACCTACAGCAGATTGACAAAGAAGGGGGAAACAGAGCATACCGCTAGGAAGAATAACCAATTTACAAAGGCCCCTGCCTAGAAAGTGAGGGAAAAAGAAATAATGGAAATACAAAACAAGAAAGCAATTAAGATGGCATTAGTAAGTCTTTACATATTAGTAATTACTCTAAATGGAAGTGGAATGAATTCACCAATCAAAAGGCACACCAGCTGGCTGGACAAAAAGTAAGACCCAACTACTGGGTGCCAATAGGAGATATACTTCAGTTTTAAAGCTACATATGAGACCTGCAGTGATGCGAAAGATACTCTATGCAAGTGGAAACTGCAATAAAACATCAAATTTCAGAATATAAATTCAAAGAGGGCTGAAAAATTAAGTGTTCAAATGAAAATCTTTAATTTTTATGGGAATGTTTTCATGTGCTGTGGCAATGATGCTGTATTTTAGTGATTCTTCTGGTAATAGTTTCCCCCCAAATATCACAAGATGTAATTTATCATATCAATTAGTGCTAAACTTCCTCTCTACAAAATTGTGTCTCTGTGTCAAATATTTTTCTTTGTAGTTTTACTTGATAATTTTGTTGAAATAAATATAACTCTAATAGAAAAACAAAAAACAAAAAACAAACAAACAAAAAAAACCAGTTCCAATTCAAGATAGTGACAGAAGAAGATCCTTCAACTTACCTCACATAGCACACTGAATCGATACCTATCTATGGAACAATTTCCTCCGGAAAAAAACCCTAAAACTTGGCAGAGTGAGCTCTTCATGTCTGGTAAACAAGAGGCAAAGCAAATCAAAGTGGGTAGGAAAGACTGAGATAATCTCACCACAAATCCCCACCACAGACCCATAATCAGAGGGGGATTCAGCAGTTGGAGTCTCTCCCTGAGAAGCAAATTGATCCCACACTGGGCATCCTAACTTTTCAGACTGGCACCTGAGAGATGAGACTCCAGAACATCTGGCTCTGAAGACCTATAGGGTTTACACCTATCAGATTGACTGGGGCTATAGGAAACTGAAAAATGACTCTTAAAAGGCTCATGTGCAGACTCACCTGCCCCAGGGCCTGGCATGGAAGCCATCCTTTGCAGGTGCCAGGTTTCATGTGAAAGAGACTTACTTGCTAATGTTAGAGCATTGGTCTGAAGGGCAGGAGCCGAGAGGAAGACTCTCTGGGGAAGAAAGCTAGTGAGTACCGTCTTCCTAATCTCTCTCGGTTATGCTCTAGAGCACCAGTATCTCCTGGAGAAGAGATTTTATCTATACCTGGTATCCCGGTTTTTGTGCCAGGTGACCCAGTTTTTGTAGCTGCCTTTCAGAAAACACCCTTGATTAGCTGGCTCTAGAGAATGAGAGCTTGTGTTCCTGGGTCTCACAGAACTGGAACAATCAAAGAGGTAGTTTGACAGACTAACACTATTAGGGCAGAGTACAGCTTGCAGACCAAAACCCACTCCCAATCTAAGAGAGGGGCCTATTTTCTTGTCCAGGGGC